TTAAAAGTAATATAGGCTATATTTGTAGCGAAGCTTTGCATATTACTTGTATGAGCAGTAGTGATAATTTTCAAAAACAAACGTAACATTATATCACTTATGTATAAGGTAATCGTATATTCGAAGAAATCTCTTGATAAGTAATATGTGTAGTCTATTATACGTGTAAATAACAATAACCAATAATCAAATTTAGAAATGTTCAGAACTTGGAGTATTCAAGAGGCGCTAATTGGTCTTCATGATGCTGCATTTATTGAGCACTACAGATGGGGCGATAATAAGGAGGTATAAAATCAATATATGATAGTTATTCGTCTACATGCGTATTAACATTATTAAGCACAAAATCGTAAACCTGTCCAGATTAAGTTTAAAAAAAATGATTTATAACGTTGCCATTATTTTCATACCTGTATCTTTCCCAGAACAATATTCCTACAACATGCACATTCCAAATAAAACCATTTACTTAATTTTAACCAGATATAAAATATGAAAATATTTTAAAAGAATATTAAAATGTTCTACTTACAATGCAATTAATAAATAGTAAAGTTTAACAAAAACAGTTTTAAGTAATCTATTTATAGGTGTATAAAGCAGTAATTTGTTACTATTCTCATATCACTACGTACTAACAATTTTACAATTTTACAACCACAGAATGCTACATACTTTGACTGGGCTACACCATTGTATGCAGAAGATAAGGACAAGAGAGCCGTGGTGGCTACAGCAACTGGTTGGAGGAAACATGATAGGGAGACACCTGTAGAGTTCATATGCCAGTCTGACTCAGGTACATTTTTTTATTAGTAACAGATCTGCACATTGTATACCCAGAACCTAAGAAGTTATCTAGGCATTATGGTTTAAACAATTTCAATTTATAATTTTGGGCTTATATTTTTCAAATTTTGCGAAAGTATAAATACTTCAATTTTTGTTATTGTTACTTCGAGCTTTGTTAAATTGACTAGATAGTATTTTTAACATTTCTAGGGTGAATAATACGAACATTTTTATAATGTAATAATTTAGCAATGGATAGTTCGGTAGGCCTACTTATACTCCAATAAAATAATTCCAAATAAATTCCTTTTTAAATTACTACTTAATAATGTTAGTTATTGATTTTAGTAAAAACATATTTTCTTCTTTAATGCATGCTAAACAAAAGTCTATTTTTTGGGATATGTTCAGATTATTTTAAATTTTTTTTTTACAGTTTATGTTCTAACGCGTTTTGAAAAATTTTACCATGTTTGGCACATGAAACTAGTATAGTAGTATAGTATTTACTATATATTGAAATATAAGCCGTTTAAATTTGATTGAGCTACTGGTCAGAATTCCATAACGTGTGAATAAACGTACCCTTTTTAGTATGCAAACGCTGCAAAATTAGCCTTCAGCTATCACAATTCCCTCGTTACAAAAATTTTGTTTTTGCATCAAGGACTTTTATTAAAAATAGAAAAGTAGTAAGCTTTTTAGTGTTAAAAAACTGCAAACTGAGAAAAACAGCAAAAAGTAGCGAAAAGTAGGTCACGAATACGAATTGATTACAATATGATGACGGATATAAAACTTTTCGCAGAGAACTTGTGAGATTGGGAAAAAAATAATTTTTAAATAATTAATAGGGTTATAAAATTATATTTTAAACACACAGATTTTTTTTCCTCATTAAAGTTATTATATTAAAAAAAATGGACAAAGTATCCAAAAAAGTACGCAACTCATAATGACGAAAATATTAGGATTTTTGTGATTTTGAAACGAGCATTTCCCCCCTTAACGAGCTAATTTTTTGCTTTAGAATGTTTTAACTATTTATAAAACTCCGCTCGATGATTTTTTTCTCTCTTTACCTATTCGCTTAGGAAATATGGACCTTAGGTACATATTTAAGTTATTATCCTAAAACGTATGACTACCTTATGCTGGTTTCATTATTATCTTTTCCCGTTTATGCCCGAGACACATAGAGCAGATGCATTATAGTACTTCTGTTTCAATGACTTTGGCACACAAGTCGGTTATACACCAGCCACATTTGTTTCCCTAATGTGAGTCAGGTACTCATCAGAGATGGGTGACGTCCTACAGACTCGAACCCAGGTTCCGAACTCGAAACTTTCGGGTCAGCAGTCTAACGCTCTACCGCTTGAATACACCGTTCCGATGCTGGTAATATTAGCCTGAAATCGATGATGCCCACTTAAGCTAATAAAATGTTGATTCAAATCGTTATGAATAAAGGTAAAATTATATTTTAAAGCAGTCCTGCCAGAAGTAGTTCTCTCATGTCCTATCGCTGAAGAAGGAAAACAGAATCACTTGTTGTGGTGCAGTGTAGAGACCTATGAAGTTTCACAGAATCCTAGCATCCAGTTCTGTAGAAACAACATTAAAGGGATTTGTCCTAAAAATGGCTACACTACAAGTGATCAAGCTGTCGATTCTAACATCACAACACAACTTAACATCAGCACAGTAAGGAGAAAAGACGAGGGTACATGGACGTGTTTTTTAAGTTTTACAGTAAGATCCGGTACACATGAGATGAACAAGAGCTGCAATCTATCAGTTTACTGTAAGTATTAACTGGAAAGAATAACAACACTTTTTTTTCCATAGTATAGTTTCCATGTAGAGTATTTCGCTGCTACATTTTAAGAATTTTTATACCGTCTAGAATCATGCTCTAATTTTAAATTTCGTGTTAAAGAAGAATCAATTTAACTCAATTAACTCATATACATATATACAATAATGACCCTAATTTTAAAAACTAATAATTTCCTTTTAATGCATGCTGATAAAAATGTATAATTCATATTGTAATTATTAAATATTTTCGTAAAGTGTTTTGTACAACTATCAAAATTTTAGGTATGATAATGATGATGTCAGTAACAACAGAATTCAGTAGAATAAAAATGGTACCTGTTTATCTACCAAGTTTAATATGACAGGGCAAAATGTCTCTAAGCTAAACCTATGTAGACTCTGTAGCCAACCAGGGAAAAAATAAAATTATTGCTACTTTAAAATATTGAATCCTTTAAATTTGCATTTTACATTGTTTTAATTTATGAAAAAAATTTATTTAAAAAACTGTTATATCATCACAATTCTAAATTACTAGATAAAAAGAAATACCATTGTAAATATATATCTAACTATTATTCTTTCTATTGCCAGCCATCCCACAAATCCCCACTTGCCAACACACCTCTAACGACACACACGTGCTGGTCACGTGCTCGACATATCAAGTTTACCCAGAGGCGAGATGCAAATGGGAGGCAACGTTTGGTATAGACAAAATAGAGGTTGGTTTTTGTTTTGTTTGCGTACAATGTTTTTACTTCCTACTTCGCTCGGTGAGTTTTTAAAAGTTGTCTTTTTAAAACGTCATATGAAAAGAAAGTATCGATTCTAATATAGAGTCTACTAGAGTCCACCCAACACAAGACATACACACTGAATGAATCTGTTTACTACAACACGACATGTACGGCAAGTTTTAAGCCCAACGTTACAGGAGTGTTCAAGATTGAAGTCACTATGTATGCTAATCAGTCAACACAAGGGGTAACACAGAAACATAATATAACAATAGGTAAGTTAGTTAGATGATTAGCACTGACAACCTGTTTAATACCATCATTTTATTGAACTTGACAGGTGATTAAATTAGGACAGAAATATCAGCTTGTAAAATTACAGCATGCAGGCTACAGTTCTGAAGCATTTTACTTTTAGTTGTCGTAAAACACAAACTTTATATTTTACAGTTTATTCAATGCCTACTAAAATCTATATATATATAATTCTCTTCTGGGAGCCGTTTGAAAACAAGCTGCAAGCGCCTCCTTACAGTCCCCTCTCTTCCTCTCTATCACCATTACTACCACCCCCACCCCACCCCACATGATCTGGTGAGCTGTTGTTCATGCCAAATGTTTACAAATCATAGAGCCGGGTTTGTTGACGGCTATTAGGGGCAGATAATTTAGTTTGAAACTATTTTAAACTTACAGGAGGTAACTAAGAGGAGGCTGCTTTCATGGGGAGGCATTGGTACTGTCGTATTCACAAATTATGAATTACTGAAAAGTAGAAATAAAACAACTAAATAGCGGCGTAGGATACGCAGCGGGTCGGCTCGTTGAAGATATTTCGTTAGCTCGGGACTCGTGCTACACCAATGCGGAATTATCAAAACTGCTTTCCGATAAATCGATGCCACCAAAAACCTTCCGTAAAAATAACGTCTCGCAACTAAGTGCTACTGCAAATGAAGCCCCCTCACCCCAACCAGTGTTTCTTCCATTGTTTTTTTCTCGGGGGGGGGGGGGGGGGGGCAGCTGCAATTTTCGGGGGAGGGGGGGGGATGGACAAGTATTTTCGGGGATGCGGGCACTGGTAACAGTATTTTATAATATAAATTTCGTTTCGTTTGGGGGAGGGGGGGGGTAGACTTTCTTCGGGAGAGATCCCCAAAGATGCCTGAAAGAAACACTGACCCCAGCCTATTCAAACCGTTTGTTAATTCACATCGACTCTTTACATTGACGCCCCAAACAAGAGTAAACGTGTACCTCGAAAAAATTTTTTTTTGCCACAAGCAGCCACTATAAGCAATTTGAAAGACTAATGACTCTTACTATTTTCTTCCTTTACTAAACGGCTCATGACAAAAAGTCATTTATCGATTGAATAATGATATCATCGATTTTGTTTCTTTTCAGGTTCCCCAGAATGTCCAAGTCAATTTGACGTAAAATTAATCAACAAAGACAGCGTCATCATCTCATGGACACCTGGCCACAATGGCGGACTAACACGGACATTTGTTTTCTATAGCCACACAAACACCACGTTAGATAGGACCTTGGTAGCTGCTGTTGTTGATGATAACAAAGAAAGTATGGTTTACACTGTAAGAAACCTGGATATGAACACTACGCTTGTTTTTACTGTTGACGTTAAAAATATGTTCAGTATAATAGTGTGTCCAGATTTAAATGTCAGCGTGAATGTCTCAGGTAAGATTATTCTCAGCGTTAAAGTCTTTGGTAAAATGCTACCGTTCTATTTATAACTTTAGGTTTCAACAATGTCACGATTAACTCCTGTCTAAAGCAGATGCTGTACATCCGTAATTTGTATTTAACTCGGGGGTAATTGGCAGCGGAACGTTACAAGCTGATCATCAAGTGTCTCTAAGTGTTTTTAAAGTATTTTATCGTGCAGTAAACAGGACTAACTTCAGAATCCGCTTATATATGTAACAATTTTATACGTAAACCTTCGTGAAATAATTGTAAAGAAGTACACAGAGCCACAAGTCACGAGAGCAACTTCAGAACGAAGTCTACTCAGCTGGTCACTTACACACCACTTACATACATGACACATCTGGCTGGCTACTAAACTGAAAATCTTTCCTGGTCATGCTCGGTCAAAAAACATGGGGTAGCAAAACGATAATTTCAATGTCTACTAAACTACCCCCTCCACGTTTATAAACAACAACACCGAACTATTTTTAATTAATAACTTTTTAAAATGGCAGATAGCTTTACATTTAGGTTTATATATTGTATGCAGAAATTGATTAATAGCTTATCATAAGTTTAACAATTGGTTTTATTTAATAGTTAATGTTCATTCAAGAGCTATTAAATGAGACAAAAATTAACAAGCTAATCAGCATTAAACAGGAAGTTATTTCCAACATACACCGTTGTTTCATTTCGAAAGTTCTACTACTATAATGCATGCATTTTTATACACACATTAAAATGTATTAAAAATCGTTTAAATACATATGTATATATATATATATATACATATATATATATATATATATATATATATATGTATATATATATATATTAATATATATATATATATTTAGAAATAGATAAATAACAAGAAATTAGCAAATAGTAGTCAGTGATGAAAACAAATACAGTACATTTAAGTAATATAAACATGAAATATTCGAAGAAGTTTCAAAACAAGTGCAAAATAAGCAACGTAGCAGTAGGCTTTTATATTATTATAGATGCACATAATGTTCGGTATATTAATTTAGAGTATTGATTCTCTGATTTGATTCTTGATGTTGTTTGATGACTCATTAATATTTGCTAGCACCAGATGTTTCGGACAATGGAAGTCTTGAGAAACAAAACGGGTCAGAATTAGAACCCAGAAATATGCTGTATCTGGTGATGGCATCGTTAGGTGTGGTGTTGCTTGCTGCATTGCTGGCTATTGTCGTTGTGAGGTTCAGACGTCAACATTCTTATAACAGAAAAACTTGTGAGTGCCAGCATTCAACTTTTGTATGGTATTCGTATTCAAATGTTTAAAGTTGCACTAACGGTTACAGATTTACATAATAACGTTTTCAATAGATTTTATAAGAATACAACATCAGTGTACAATCAGGTTATTATCAGGGAGAAGTAAACGATAAGTAGGATATCTGAAAGAATAATGCTTTAGTTTATTGCGTATAGGTTAAGTTCCCCTTTTCAGACCTAACTATCCATAGAGCATGTGAAGAAGATTTATATTTTTTCCCAACCTCTATATAAGAGGGGATGGTGATTTAGTACTATATCTAGTCGCCTTCATTCGAAAACTTGAGTCAGGTACCCATCCGAACTGAGTGGACTCAAGAACCCTGCCTTGAGTCTGGACAAAGAACCGAACTCGAGACCTTTGATGCTATGAGTCGATCGCATATTCTATATACATGTATAATCACGATGTTGTTATAAAAAGGTTTGTTTCATTGTTTTCTTTGTTAGACAATCTATACATATATAATTCTCTTCATGGAGACTATAAAAAACACCAAGCAGTAAGCGCACCTAGCAGCCTCCTCCCTCTCTTCCTCTCTAGGCATATCCCTACCACCCCCAACCCCACATGATCTGGTGAGCTGTGGTTCACTCTACAATCGTAGAGCCGGGTTTAGTGCCGGCTATTAGGGGCAGATAATTCAGTTTGAAACGATTTTAAGCTTAGGGGAGGTAACTAAGAGAAGGCTGCTTTTACCGAGGGGGGGGGGGGGGGATGTAGGATCGGGGTTGGGGGAAAGGAGGGGGGGGGGTTATCGTCCATAACGTCCTACTGATAGTGTTTTAAAGCAAATATTTTCAGTACTGTCGAATTCACAAATTATGAATTACTGAAAAGTAAAAATAAAACAACTAAATAGCAAACTGATACGCCGCGGGTCGGCTCGTGTAAAATAAAAACCTAAAAGCTTTTTACTTTGTTTGCCATCTCTTCATCTAGTAATGGGTCGTGCAAAATTTAGTACGCACAAAACATCAATGTAACCAGGCCACGTATCGAATGATTTGCTTCCCTGTTTATTTGTAACATTATGTATCCTCCCCAACCACTCAGTGGGAGTGTGTATCCTCCTTCCCGATTTATCCAAGTGTGTAATCCCACTCACCACTTACGTTTGGCGTAAGTGGTGCACATGCCCGTTTTAACAAGGTTTAAATGTGACAAAATATAAAAGTAATTCTTTTCATTGTTTGCTTAAAACTTAGCTTAGAGATTATTCTATTTCTAATTTTAAATTGCGTGCTTATTCCCCTGTCTGGTGAATTAAATCCCTTTAGTGAGCTGATACAAAAATAGAGTAGAAACGACATATGGTGCCCTTCTGTATGTTCTGTTGATTTAGCTTTATCCTTGTAGCAACCCGGATTATTAAATTGCTGTACGGATGTTTTGTCGCTAACTAAATATGTCGCTGTCGCTGTCTTGAGCACTAGCCAATGAGACCGCGTTATTTATATATAGATTTTTTTAATATAAATTTTACCATATCTAGCCATAGTAAAGTGGAACACACGATACAAAAAACTAGCATGGTTTTATGTTTTATTGATGAATCAAATGGTTGTTTTACTGAGCGATGCTATAACCTAACCGTTTAGTGATTTTTTAAACTAAACAATTATCTCACATAACACTAATTACTTGGTCAGTGGTCAAACTACCATAGTCATGTCAAAACTGTCTCTTTGAAACGGTCATTAGTTGTCCACCTCCTTAGGTGTGCCATATAATTATCTCTAGCTTACATCTCCTGGTGTTGCACCAATTTTATTTGTAGACTTTTACACTCTACACTTTATTAAAATTAGAGAAATTGTGGTGGGTACCCGAGTTACAAAAATGAACCTCAAACACGTGACTTTCTTTAAAACCCTTAACAATGCCATTGCATTTACAAAAAATAAAATGGATTTATAAATGCTCATCAAACAAAAGAAACGTGTTCGTATCCAATGTATAAGAGAATAGTTGCCTTTTGACGCCTTCTTGATTAAAACAAAAATTAATCGATTTTCGGTACACTGTCTGTATGCGTCTCTGTATATAAACACGATCACTTGAGTAGCATTTCATAAAGGTACAGACAACTTATATACATTATTAGATCCAATGAGTAAGTTTATTTTAACCTTTAATAGAGTTCCGGTATGCGGAACTATATTTTTTTTCAGTTTGTCAAAAACCTTCAGAATTCGACACTCGTATATCATATTCTTATTAAGCAGCATAGAATGTGTGTTTTCTTAATAATACTCGCTGTTTTTTCACAAACTTAGTAAACATTTCTATACCCCGATTCCGCTGGATGTTCCACCACAACAGTGCTTACACAAATATACGACAAGGTTTAGATTACCTCATACTCTCCTCATGTTAAGTATTAACACCACACTGTTTAATTTAGTGATGAATTTCATTCTGTTATTGACTTTGTCATCAGGTAAACATAAGAAAAGCAAGGCTGAAATGGAGGTGCTCAATAACTTGTACGGTCTACAGGACATTAAACTCTACTGTAACAATACATAGTGTGTGATGTGGGATGGTGGGGGTGTTCTCTTTCAGAGTATCATGCACGTGTGTGTGGCAGAGGGAGAGACAGGAGAGAGAGACAGGAGAGAGAGACGATGCAGAGAGAGAGGAGAGACAGAGAGAGAGAACTAAAGAGAGAGTAGAGATGTGTGCGTATCAGTGCGTTTGTATGTTTGACCGTATGTGTTAAGATAGATACAGGAGAGAGACAGAGGAAGAGAGAGACAGGAGAGCGACAAGAGAGAGAAAGAGGAAGAGAGAGAGACAGAGAGAGACAGGAGAGAAATAGACAGGAGAGAGAGATAAAGAGAGAGACAGAGGAACAGGAAAAAGAGAGACAGAAGACAGAGAGTGATGGAGAGAGAGACAGGAGAGTGAGAGACAGAGTGATAGATGCAGGAAAGAGAGACAGAGAGAGAGACGGGAGAGAGCGAGAAACAGAAAGAGAGAGAAAGAAAGAGAGAGAAGAGCTATGTGAGTATCAGTACGTTTGTTAATATGGTAGTATGTGTTTCCATGTGAACATATGTATTTTAAATTTATTTATTGAAGATGTGAACGATGTATTTTTTTTTATCTGAAACATTAAAGAAAAAAAGTTTACCACTAGGAAATCAATGCATGACTTTCATTTCTACAGTTGTATTTATTGGTATCTAAAACTACTATATAAATAGATTAGTCTCAAAGCATAACTGGTACATATTATAACGTTGTGCATCCAAAGCCAAAACAAAATGAATTATTAATATTATTTGAACACAAATACATTATTCATCAAGAAATATCATTTTTTTTTACATTTTTATCGTTTCTTTCATTTCATACTCATTAACTTTCATCTATTTCGGTGTCATCGTCCATATCGAAAGCAAGCTCTTGTTCTGAAAAAGAATCAGAATTATTTTCAGTCTCATACTTGATATTTGTATATAAAGATTCCTTATGTTCAGACGCGTACTTTGTGTTTCCACTCAAAGTCTTGTCATACGTTGTCTCAGACTTGATGCTTTTACCTAAAGACTTGTCATCTTTATTTTTAGTCTTTCCCTGCAGAGACTTGTCATATGTGGTCTCTATGTTGCCATACACAGACTCATCAGTTTCTGTGTCCGACTTGACCTTCTGCTCCAGGAACGTGTACATGGACGTGGCGAGCAGGTCAATGCTTGAGTACTCGACACTCTCGTGGTTCGCATTTTTCACGTTTTTTACCCTCTCGTGGTTCGCATTTTTCACGTTTTTAGCATCCTGCTGGTTCGCATTTTTCACGTTTCCAACATCCTGGTGTTTCGCATTTTTCACGTTTTTAACACCCTGTTGGTTCGCATTTTTCTCGTTTTTAACACCCTGCATCTGAGACTTGAAGACCGGAAAGGTCGTTTCTGGGTTGATCTCCATGGAAACGTATATAAGACCGTGTTTACTTAACGTCCGGCCACTGTTTGGACCGCAGGTTGTCTTGCCTGGTTCGGTGTCCATGTCGATAGATTGGTCGTGTTCATCACAGCTGAACTGTAAAATACGAGTGAGGATTTATTTCCCTTTTTAAAATTAATTACGGTTAATACAAGTCACGTAATGCCACAAATACGGTATACGAACTAAGTCAAACAAATTTAACAGTTTTATATTTTTAAGTGGCGCAAACGCTGCTAACGCCCCAGCAAGGAAAAAAAAAATTATATGGGGTGAAACTAATTCACTAAAAGTAAATGACTTGGTCAAGGTATTGTTGGCTCGATTACTAGAATCACCAGCCACACGATTTAACTGGACATTTAGAGTATGTTATTAAAATATAAAAAGGGTAATCATGTGCAAAACTTCAAGTCCATTGAGCGCCCCTGGGGCCATACAGATTTAATTGGTGACTGACGTTCTTTAGGTAAAGAATAGAAGGCTGGGCATAGAATTTATATGCGAAACTGTACTTAATATACCCTTCATTTTTACATTTCACAAACTTCAATCATCTATAGTAGGTTGTATAAAAATGCATGTTAGACTGCATTTCAATTTTATAATTACAATTATGACAAAAAGTAAAAATGGGTGTTGTTTAAAGGGGAGTAACTTACATTTTCATAAATGGAGTTGTCGTTCTTGTCCTGAGTGTTTACTAAGTTGGGCACTGACTCACTCATAGCAAGATGGGCTTGTACTTCATCAACACTGTCTGAGTCATGTGACGCTTCGGCTGAATGATTTAGAGAGATAACAATTTTAATGTGGATGTTGATTGTGTAGATATATCTGTGTAATGTGGATGTTGATTGTGTAGATATATCTGTGTAATGTGGATGTTGATTGTGTAGATATATCTGTGTAATGTGGATGTTGATTGTGTAGATATATCTGTGTAATGTGGATGTTGATTGTGTAGATATATCTGTGTAATGTGGATGTTGATTGTGTAGATATATCTGTGTAATGTGGATGTTGATTGTGTAGATATATCTGTGTAATGTGGATGTTGATTGTGTAGATATATATCTGTGTACACTGTTGCAATCTTGATTATCTGACCCATTTAAAAAATACTTGATATACAAGAGCCTTAATGAATCTTCAACAGAACGCGTAGATGGTAGATTTTAAAATCAATACATGTTTAAGGTTTATTTTTTGTATGCTTGTCTTTTAGCCTACATTGAACAACGAAGGCTAAGTTGCACACTGTTTTATTTCTGTTCGCTGTTAAAGTTCAGGTTGCAGGTTGTAATTTTTGGGTTGTTAGAGGCGGTAAACATGGTTTATAGCGAAGACAACTTGTTGGTTTGTAACTACTAAAGAATCATTTTAGAAGTTAAAATTAATTTGATTTTTTCTGTTGTTAAATGTATTTGCATTGTCATGAGCAAATGAAAACGTGACAAATCATAATTTAGATTTTAGACAATCGTTACTTACCTCCGAAAGGTAGATTGGCGTAAAGGTCGTTTACATCTTCACTGGTATCAGTTTCATTTTCCTTTGGTGCTAAAATCTCGGTTGGTTCTAGATTCAAACCCGTCTCGTTGTTTGATGGCTCATGAGGCAAGACTGTATCAGCTAAGGGGTTTGAAACTTTCGATTCGTCTTCTGATTGAATAATTCTATTTTTTCCAATCGATGGTTCATCATGTGGGCTAGGTATGTGTGTGATGGTCGCCACTGTTGTCATGGTTACGGGGCTTGTAGGTTCTGATAGGTTTGTCACCCCTTGTACAATTGTAGCATGTGGTGTGTGGTGTGGGCTTACCCCATCTGAACCCACAAGCTCGCCTGTGTGTGTAGACTCATGTGGGCTTGTCTCTACTTCTTGACTTCTCCTCTCATGTGGGCTTGTCGCTTCAATACAACATCTCTCACCGACTGAGCCACTGCCCACCTGCTGTTGCCTTGATTTATCAAAGAACGGAGAGATTTCCCCAACAGAGACGATCTCAACGTGAGCTTGAGCACCAAGGTCGTTCAGTGGCTCAAGCATCATGTGGTATTTACGACTTGTCGTCAGCATATTTTCCCTCTGACGAGCAAGAATGTCTCGAACTATAAATACAATTTTTTTCTTTGTTTTAGAAAATATTTTACAGCAAGATATGATACAAAAATGTGGTCATGTTGTTATAAATTAACATTTTAGAAACTCACTGACAAAATGCATAATGATTTTTTAAAAATACAACTACGAGCAGATTTGCATAATTGCTTGGAAAATAACAATTAAGTATTTAGACCAATTTGCTTATTACTTATAGAAACTATTGCCTTGTAAATGTATCAACTAAAGTTTTGGTTAAATGCAATTTTTTATTTAAAAAAACCTTGTTCTTGTTTTAATTAATGCCTTTTCAATGTTTTGGAAGCATACCCAAAAAGAAAAGCAGGCTGAAATTGGAGTTTACTGCCTGTTGACAAGTTGACACGTAATACTTAATTCTATTGGAAGGCATCCATTCCAGCATTAAAATTTAAGAACGAAGAAGAAGAATGCTGATGCTTAAACTTAATTCAATAACAGCCAGAAGTTAAAAATGCGTTATCTTTCGGTCACCCATTTCAGATGTGTTAGAAAAGTTTTAGGGGACGGAGTGGTCTAACGAGAAAGAGAGAGAGAGAGAGAGAGAGAGAGAGAGAGAGAGAGATAGAGAGAGAGATAGAGAGAGAGAGATAGAGAGAAATATAAATAAAGATATTTTGATATACTCAACTCACATAAAAAAATCATTTGGTCCGCCCTCTTCCATCTAAGTTTTCTTTTGATGCAGAAGAATACAAGTAAACTAACAGCGATAACAATCAAGATGAGCACCACGATGGGTACGATAATTTGAGGTATAACAGGTTCTTCTGGGGTTAGAATAAACTCTGGAATCAAACACAGACTAGATCGTGAATATTATATAAAAGTTCAACAGTATAAAAGTCAGGAAATTTTATTACGCATCTATCTATAACATTAGGTCTTGATAATCTTCCAAAAAATAATTTTTAAATGATCCGAACAACTGCCTTATGATGTTTAAGTGAATAACTCATACAGATTTGGTTTCATAAATATAATTAGTTAGGAGTAATAATTAACTTATATTTTTTTAAATGTAAAAGTGTCCTTGTGATTCTTAAATTAATAAATAATAATAACTAAACATGTCGGCCGCCTATATCGTCCCCACTAAGCAAAACTTCTACTGTTTGGAAACTACCTATAGTAGTAGAACGACCGATTTAATACGTGTTCATACACTAGGCAACCAGATAAAATTATTTCTATTTACTCAATAATGTTTGAAATATTGTGGATTTCTATGAATTTATATAGACAAACTTTCAATTTTCGATTTGCGACCCCCCCCCCTTAAAATTTTAAGACTATTTAACACTCGAATTAATCACTTCATTAAGTGGAATTACCATTTTTCTCAATATATTTTGCTAATTTTTGCCTTGGTGTCACCCCCCTAAATGGTATCACCCGGTGCGGTCCGCACCTCCTGCCCCCCACCCTCGCTACGCCACTGGTTTGAAGTATATATTTTAATCTGTAAAATATTTACACAATAAAAGTAAAATATGTATATAGACAATTTTGAGAAATGTAAAATGTATGCGACTGACCTTGAATAGAGATTGTAATATTTACATGAGGACATACAGTCTTCCCTAAGCTGTTAAAGACATCGATTGAAACAATAAATGTCTTGTTTGTTATATTAGTTAACGTGTAGGTCAAGTCAACTGACTCCATGATTTCAGCTATCATGTTGTCGTCATGAAGATTCGATGCTGGGTCGTCAAGTTTAAGAAGTCTGAAAGTCTGCGTGAGGCCGCCGTTACGTCCGGCACTCCAAACGAGCGTGACTGCGTCTTTGTCCTGTCTCTGAATGCGGAGATCCCTCGGACATTGCGGTGCATCTAAAAGCGTATTGGGGATACGTTTAAATATTTACATAAATAAACACAAGTTATCTCATGTTTTAGATTTTGTATATCAGTTGTTAACCCCCAACAAACTATTGATTGGTTTATGCACCATTTTTGGCAGATGATGTTGAGGTCTTAAAAATGGTAACAAAAATGTTTTTTTTTTCAAGCACGATATTATTGTATATCAAAATGAATGATTAATTAATAATAATCAGCAAAATTGTTTATATATTTTGAACTTATTATGTATTTTCAGTTCGAAAAATAATGCTATCGCGCCATCGGCATTTGGAATTCTAAATATAATTCCAATTGACCACAAATTCAGCTCTTTGTGTATTTGTTTGCATGTCGATTTAGCTGTCCATTATACAGTAATCGTTTTTTAATGCTTACATAATAATTTTAAACTTTTTTTGTACCAGCATATTTCATTAAAAGAATGACATGCCTTACCTAAATTAATGTTGATAGTACTGGTAACTTCCGAACTTAAAACTTCCGGTAAATTAGCTGACATTTTCACGTTGATCAGGTAATGACCTGTCACCTGTGGAGCTATGCTAGCCTTACAAGATGATCTATAGTACATCACCTCACCATCAGTATAGTTTACATGTGTTGAAATGTCGTTTTCTAGCAATGTAACCTGGAGTGTTTATCAAATTTACATATTACTAAAATGATTATCAATAAACATTAATACATTAATTATTGTATAACATAATAAAACACACGGCTGTTTATTAAACAATTTAAAAATTAAATAGGTGCAAACACTATCCTTCAGATTTTTATCTTTGAGAGGCTTAAACAAAGTAATAAAATAAAAATATCAAAAACTGTATTATAGCTAAATATTTTAAATTGATCGTACAGACTGTAAACATTTTAAATCTATTTAGTTGGGCAAAAATGTAAGTTGAATATTTGCCTTGCGGTCGTATAACACTAAAAATCGACTATTTATAACAACTATGAGTTATATTTATATCAGTATGCTATGTTATCGATAATTTAACTAAGTTTGTATGAGTAATTAATGGATTTCCTGGCTTCTTGCTAATGTAGAACCGTAAATAATTGAAGATGAATGCATATTAAATTAAAATATATAATATACAACAATTTTAAACAATGGTTTATGTGGAACCTGTTTAACAAGCTAGTTTATAAGTTTTAGGTGCAAACAATACTGAGATTACGAATGAAGGACTGGGAAACATCGACCTCTGGTTTTGAACTGTTGACAGTCATATCCCACACGCAAATGGCTGTCGGGTAAACCTTTGGTGTTGTACAGTTGATGACAACGTGTGTGAGGTTCGAATCCCATCTGCACGCAGGTTTCAGAGGAGTTGCTGGAAAAAATATGATTAAAGACATATAATAAGAATACAATGGCAATGTTCTCAATACTATGCTTAACTGTGTAATCATCAGACGGATCTAGAGACTTAAAGAATCAATCTTACTCAAGAAATGGTTCAAAAGGACGCCAAATTGTCCATTGCTTACTTGTCAAAAAGCCAAACAAAAAATACGGACTCAGGTCTAATTAGGTGTCAGGTGTAATTAGGGGACAGTTCTAATCAAGGTTAAGAATTAAGTTCTAAAAGCATTAATTATTTTTTTTTATTTGCAAGATTTATCACCGGTGTCAGGGTAGTTTTCACGGCTATGTTAGTGGCATTTATGTTATAAGATGTGTCAAAATCAATTTAAATTTGTGAACATTTACAAGCCAATTATATATTACCGTAAACGCTTATTAGGCAGCTCTTGTTTGACGTCGCAGATCCAAGAGAAAATGTGTTTGAACACACCCACACCCCTCCATGAGATCTTATGACAACGTCTATAAGCATAACAGTATCAACATGAGTAGAATTGATCTCCACACGACCTTCGACCCCTGGAGGTTGAGTACAGTGAGACCTGTTACAGTGCATGGAGTGTCTAGCGTTGCTGAGATTTGACCCTTTGAATGTTGAGGTGTCTGCCATTTTCGTAACACAGAGTACGCTGATGTTTCTAGAACCTTCTGCTGCTGAAGAGCACTCAACTTCCGGCACTGAGGTAGCTGGTTAAATTTATTTTGGCAAACGTTAAAAGGAATGTTAAATAGAAAAGAAAAAAATTCTCATTATTTTTGCATTAAGGAATGTGACCTATAGGCCTACATAAAACAATATTCATTAAATATTTTAGAAAATTACGTTCCGATATATAAACTTTTACTCAAACACACCAATAAACATATATATATATATATATATATATATATATATATATATATATATATATATATATATATATATATATATATATATATATATATAAACATAAATTAACAAATACGTAGCCTATACGTTTATATATTTTTGTGCAAAAAGGATTGTATAAAATATTTAAACACAAATACATTAAACTCATATTATTAGTTCACTAAGATACTACAGTATATTTAAGTTACACTCTATTGAAACTAAAACATTTGTCAGATTTTTGTTCATAGTTTTTCTAGAGTAGCGACATCAAAATTAAAACACTATTCCATTTGTTTAATAAAGTTTTCTTTTATAAGGAACTTTATTTTTTTTACTTTCTCGTATATACGAAGTATAGAGAAAGTCCTGTAATCGTGCACAAAAAAAAAATCGAGATTTTTACAAATCTCGACGTTTTACATCTCACTAATACGGAAAAAGATAATTATGCAATATTGTCCGTATGTCTGTGTGTCTGTCTGTCTGTCTCTGTGTGTGTGTTTCTGTCCGTGTGTAAACACGATTATTTGAGTACCGTTACAGCTAGATTGATGAAATTTCATCTAAGTATTTTATCAAAATCGTAGATCCTTATCAACTTTTGAGCGATTTCCGATAACCGGAAGTGGTACTTTTCCTGCTTTGAATTTTTCAAAAGCATATAACTTGAGTACTATTTCAGATAGATAAATGAAATTTCACATGTAAGTAAAAGATCTAATTTTCTACCTTCTGTTAAATTTTGAGTAATTTCCGTTGAACGGAAGTAGTAATTTACGCTACTTCCGATTTCTCAAAAAACTAATGTAAATTTTTAAAGTACTAATAATATTGCGCACTATTATACACTTTTTTATTTGGCGTTCACTTGGTGTGCAATTCTTTGATATTAGAGATTTTATTCTATTTTTAAAACTTTAAGTATTTAAAATGGATTAAAAATCATGGCTATAGCCCGAGTTCTCATCCCCTGTTATTTTATATAAGAATATTCGAGAAAGTTTAGGGGAGATCACTCCCGGTTTATTTTTTTAATGTTTTGCCAAGTATAATCAAAACATTGAATGTCAAATTAAATAATATACTGTGACGTTTCATATTCTAAAACAAAGTGTGCTTGCATGAAATTATGTTTTTATTTACCTGCTAGTACCTGACACACAAAACATGCTTTTTCTTCATGGTCATATTTCTTCCACACTGTTTTTGTGATGATGACAGCAGTAGCCTTACGATTATCGTCGTTTCTACTTTCTTCCCAACAGGAAAAATTACCAATCTGTAATATTTTAAATGTTTATATATCTTTACGAAATATTTAATAAAACAACTCAAAGTGGGCAATGGAAAAATATTTACACTAGCGTGAGTGGACTATATTCTTATCTTAGTTGGAAGACGATCAAAAACGTTTTTGCCGACAAAATGTTTAATTCTAACGCCCTAGCTAATGAACTAAACAACACCGCGTACGCAGTTAAAACTCTTGGCTTACTCAACAGTATTTTCTGAGGATGTATATTTTAGTTTCATTAGATTTACTCTAGATTTATTCCAAATGAATGTTGCACATGTGTTTAAGAAATAAACGCCTCTTTGATCTTATTCCTGCATGCAGAAAGTTACCTTTTTATACTTAGTAGCCAATTAAATTTTTTCTAATTTGCAGACTTCATGTGTATGGTCATATTGATGTAGAAAATGTATTAGTAACCTTATATAGAGGCAATAAAACCCTACATTTTAAAATGTTTTGATACAGTCACCCATTACTCATGCAATGCATCATCACAACCCACCCCTGTACTTATTTACAGAAACCACTTTTATTATTGTACCCTAAATTAAATTCATACCTTAATCTTTTCTCCCCACCAAAAGTCGCTTTTACTTTTCCTGTCATTCAAACCTATCAGTGCCACATGGCAAGTTCCTTCGTTTAAAAGTCCTTCAATAAAACAAATGAACTTCCGTTTTTATTGTAAGAACGTACGGAATAAATAATAAAAGACATTTAAAATATCATATCAATAATATAAAGATATTTTTTTCCAGATTTTTCTAACAACTTACTTTATAAATAGACGGCTTTTAAAATTATAGAGTAATATTATATAGAATATATTATGATACTTTATTGTAATGAATTACTGAATAAATAAGCGACATTTAAAATTATTTTGATATTATCGGATGAAAACATATATAATAATCAATATAAAAATATATTCTAGACAAGTTCCAAACAAAAGATGAAGGCATTAAACTAGCTCCTATTCAAATACTTACCTTTAACAAACTCATTCGTTTCTCGGTCAAAGATATACACTAGGTGACCTTGATATTTATGGGAACAATGTCTATCAGCTTCAACATAGGACATTTTTCCAGACACTAGCAGCATACATGTGTTGGTGTGTCGGTGGTATACATAGTCTTTTGGACATACCACTGCGGCTGTCATGTAATAGATACAAACAGTTTGATTCAAGTGTTTGTTGTTAAAATACACAAAGAAACAAATACTAAAGGTCAATAACCTATCAGGTAAAACGAGAATATGCACAAATTGTTCTCCATAATTTTGTGTAAGTCATACAATGAAAAGCAGAATTGGTTGATATATATTAAGAATTGATATATATATATATATATATATATATATATATATATATATATATTAATGTATATATTAATGTATATATTAATGTATATATATATATATATATATATATATATATATATATATATATATATATAAATATATATATATATATATATATATATATATATATATATATATATATAGGATATGTATATAGGATATTTATGTATAGGAAATATATACATAATATCAACTAGGTTTTGAAATTACCAATGAGTTTATGAGACATACCTTTATTTTTAATTTGGGCTATTAACATTAGCAGATGCAGAATTCTTGAAAGTGTTTTTGTTCTATACATGATGTGTATATCCCCCTAAACGCGATTTGCTGCAGTCAAATTTTACAATAATATATCATAGACATAAAATAAGAAATTCCAATGGTTTTTCAAAACTAAACCAATTAGAAAATAATGCACACTCAACACGTATTATTAACTTACAACTGTTTCTTTAATTATGTTAAAGCAGTCGAATAATAATTCCTTTCCACGCGAGTGAAATAAATCTGGAATTAAAATGATTGGAAATAAGTTAGTATCGTAAAGAAGAATATTATTGGCATATAAATAATTTTATTTCTCAACTGAAAATCAACGAAGAGAACGAATATAGATCCCAGTATTTTTATCTAATTTACTTTAAATATTTCGAAGCTAACTGATGACTAAGATTAAAATGAATCATGAAGAGGTTGTCGAATTGTTTGTGAATCATTGTTTTAAAAGTATTTACCGTCTAACGACTTTTACGAATGAGCTACAATGAGTCATCAAAAGAAAATTATTTTGTAAAAACCAACTTCAATCCACATGTTTGTGTTTACAATTTGTGTTAGATGTTTTCGTTTCTTATAATATACATCGGGAATTGTATCAATAATCTTCCAAATGCACACACTCTCCCTGACACGAGGTTGATGGGATCATCGACTGGCAACTTGCTTTCTGTATTCCTCTTTAATGAAAGGTGTAGAAATACTATGATATGTTATACACACAGCCGCCCATAAGGTTAATCATGCTTAGAGGAGGGGGGGGGCGTTGTCCCCGAAGAGATGCTTTAAAAAACGTTGAAAAGTTGAAGAATTTCGAGATAGAAATCTACTTGCCTACCACACAGTGCCACTATTAACATTAATTTTGTGAATGATTTGCACACTATGTTTAACCAACACTGCTAAACATGTAACCCAGAACTACAGTAAGTGTAGAAATGTATAGCCAAGCTTCCATACTATTTTACCCATACAGAAAGGAAACGTCTTGTCCCTGTCATTGAGTGTTGATGACATACAGGAACTGAGTCAGACAAAAACGTAGAATGTAAAGATAGGCCTACATAGTTACTTCCCTCTATCTTTCAATGTTAGATTTGTAATATAATTTAGTTTGTATAGATATTCAACAGAGTTTTGATTTAGCGTAGGCTACATTTTGTTTTGTGTGTACAGTATAAGATGAATTTGAAATCATACGTTTTTTAAAATTAAAAATCGCATTTGTCACACTCCGGTGCAAGTTTTCTAATATCAAACTATCAAACATGGATTTAAAGATTTAAAGAGTTAACACACACTGACATTGAGAGAACTTAGAGATTATTGCACTACCCATCCACTGTATAGAGATTATTAGTTCCCCACCCACTGTATAGAGACTGATAGTTCCCCACCCACTGTATAGAGACTAATAGTTCCCCACCCACTGTATAGAGACTAATAGTTCCCACCCACTGTATAGAGATTATTAGTTCCCCACCCACTCTATAGAGACTAATAGTTCACCACCCACTGTATAGAGACTAATAGTTCCCCACCCACTGTATAGAGACTAATAGTTCCCACCCACTGTATAGAGATTATTAGTTCCCCACCCACTGTATAGAGACTACTAGTTCCCCACCCACTGTATAGAGACTAATAGTTACCCACCTACTGTATAGAGACTAATAGTTACCCACCTACTGTATAGAGACTAATAGTTACCCACCCACTGTATAGAGACTAATAGTTCCCCACCCACTGTATAGAGACTAATAGTTACCCACCCAATGTATAGTTCCCCACCAAATGTATAGAGACTACTAGTTCCCCACCCACTGTATAGAGACTAATAGTTCCCCACCCACTATATAGAGATTACTAGTTCCCCACCCACTGTATAGAGACTAATAGTTCCCCACCCACTGTATAGAGACTAATAGTTCCCCACCCACTGTATAGAGACTAATAGTTCCCCACCCACTGTATAGAGACTAATAGTTCCCCACCCAATGTATAGAGACTAATAGTTCCCCACCCACTGTATAGAGACTACTAGTTCCCCACAGTAAAGCGGACTTAAAGCTAGGGCAAATAATATATCTCTTCAATCAGTAGCAGGATGCTTTGAAAATTTGGCGGTTTTGTCTCGAGTTCCACGCTCTTCAAACCACACACCACACCGTACCGTTCTCAAAGTGTGACCTACTTAGGTCTAGTAATGTTTTATTTTTAGTTTGACATTTGTTTTAATACCATATATGGTCTTTGGTGCAATGACCGTTTTTTTCGCTGTCTTACTAAGAGAGTCTTAGACTCAGAAATTTTCCGTCAAGAGATGATTGATTGATTCATACCAAATGACCACCCCAACCAATGGCCTTATGATTTGAAGGTGACCTTCCATGTTGCCTAAGTCTATAAATAGACTGCCCACAGGTGTCTCGAGGCAGTTCATTGATCAGACGTCGTTGAAGAGACATAAGCCCTGTGTGTTGCAGCGTAGTACTTAGTTGTTTAAGTAGCATATTATTATATTACTTGTGGTTAAGCAATTGTTTATGCTTATAGCAGTGTTATGTATACTGTGGTGATTTTTCTGAAGTGTTTAAAGCTGTGATAGTGTATCATATTATTTTTTCCCACGAATTGTAAGTTGGGTTTTGATCATTCTGTAAATCCATTTTTATTCTTGTATAAATCTAGTGTTCTGCCACGACTTTGTACACTCATTGCAAGTTATATGCAGATTAAATGTATTGTTGGCATCAGTAGCTTTTCTAGTGTTTCCCCTAGACATCAATTACGAGTCCTAGCGAGCTAGTGGGTCAACTTTCTTTTAATTAGGCTTGTCGCCATCTGTGTGTAATCAGTTAAACGAATCCGGGAGCGTTCGCCATCTATCTTGCTGGTAGATTGGTGTCCGTTACAAAGGTATTAAAACCATCGTCTCCACTCCCACCTACGCTCCCCCATCCCCCACCCCCTACACCATAACAACATCCCGTTTTAAAACTGCTACCACCCTCGTCGTCACTCACACCCACGCTTTCAAACCCCAGCCCCGCACCATTACATTATCTAATTATCTAATTAAAATAATAGCTTTATGCCTTTTAATGTGTATTTAAGACCTGATTTAACTAACCACTTTACTAAAATAAACTACTGAGCTTTCCACTAAATCGTCACGTCCCAACATTCAACACGTCATCAGCCAAGCTGTGACAGGGTGAGCCAAATATAGCTGTATTCACGTGAGACTGTACTTCACATGTTCAAGTCTCGCTGTATTTACCCAGGCTTCTTTTGATACAGTAGTGTAGGTGCGTGTTCGACACTTCAATTCAGTTAGTTTATTAATATTTACAAGTTTATTTTAAAAACAATTGAAAATCGTTTTCATACGATAGTTTACTACCTGGTGTAATTTAACATGTTGCTAGCTATTGATAAAAAGCGACTCGCATAAAAATAAAAAGTTTTAAGTTTTAAACAAAACAAAACAGAACACGGACGCAAGAGCAAGATTTTTTTCTGCGGAGCTTAACCTTTTAGCACAGACAATATAACCGCTGAATTTCAAACGTTTTCAAAATTTCATAAAAGCTCAGCACTTTATATAATTTCTGGCTGATTAATTATTTTTATTTATTAATTCCAGACTTTTTTCTCCGGGGGGGGGGGGGGCACTTGATATTTTCGGGGTGGGGGGGTCTGTCAACATTTTTCGGGTGGGGGGGCGGACACTAGTAAAAGTGTATGTATGGGGGGGGGGCGGGGCGGCGGGAGACTTTCTTCGGGGGAGGGTTTCTGACCCCCCCCCCCCCCCCCCCCCCCGAAGAGATGCCTTTAAGAAACTCTGATTAAGCTTAATAAACTTGTAGTAGTTTCCATGGCGCACCATTAATGACATTTTTGTGGAAGATTCTACACAATGGAGGTAGAATTGGCAGTATGCGATATCACTGTGGTACTGCTGTTTTCTTACGCCATAGCCCGCCATAGTCCCCATTTGGGTGATAAGTTTGATATTTCTATAGTGATTATTATGTTTTGTAATATTTTGAACAAAGTATTTTATGAAATGAAAGCTTTATTGCTGTATTAACCATTAACTTACTCTAACAGTTTTCATGCAATATTTTTTAAATATATTCTCTGTTAAATTCCATTATATATTTTGTGTTTTGAAATTTGAAATTTGATTTAAAATTTTGTCAATCTCGTGAATTACGTTTACTTAAACATAATTTTCTTTATTAATTTTAGTGTGCATCGGATAGTTTTAGTTAACTAAATATTAGATATTTAGATTACAGAACATAATGCAATAAATTTAATGAAACGATACAATAATCACCGGTATTCTCTTTGTGAAACATTACTATCGACTTTGATGACAGTCTTAGACTATTTAGGTAAATGTTCGTCCAATACTGTTGGTGGGAAAT